CTGTGGCAGGCGGGGCCCCGATGAGGGGCCCCCGACAGAGGCGCCTGCAGCTGCAGCTGCAGCTGCAGCTGCAAAGGACTGAGCCTGCTGCTGCTGCTGCCGCTGCTGCTGCGGGCTCAGGTCGTCCTCTCCCAGCAGCCATCCTTTAGGGGCAAATGCACCGAATTGAATCAAAGGTGCTGCATTTCTTGGTATTGTAAGAGGCAGAACAGGTAATTTTGCTTCTACGCAGCTGAGCCTGGGGAGTGCCCTTGGCGGTGCTGTTGCTGCTGCTGCTGCTGCTGCTGCATGCACTACGAACACGCGGCCACTAGGGAGTACCAGCAGGAGCGGCGAGCCCTCAGCAGCGGCCCCACAGAATTGGTGCGATCCCCCCCTAACCTGAAAGCTAGCGGGGCGCCCCACAGAGGGCCAGGGCTGTAGGCTGAGGGGTGCATCTGGCGCAACTGTGTAGCTGCTGCAGGAGGAGACAAGCGGAGGAGCTGGGAGTACAAAGGCCTTATCTAGAGCCTCAGAAAAGGGGACAATGTGTCTCTGTTCTGTTGCAAACCTTCTGCTTCTCCAGTTCCAGTTCAAGCTCCCAATACGCAGTAAATCAGGGCGGCTAACTTGAGGGAGCCTCCTATTAAATGTCTGCCACGAGCTCACCTGCCCTGTCTCCTCCTGAGCCCCCTTGCGGCCCCCACCCCCACCGCTGCTGCTGCTGCTGCTGCTGCTGCTGCTGCTGGTTAGTCGCGGCGAGCAGGTGGGAGAGACAAGCGGCAGCAACACATTCTCGCCGTGCCTAAGGATGCGCTGATGAAGTGCAAAGTGAGTCCAGCAAGGGAGAAGGGCTGGGGTGTAGCAGAGGCTTAAGAGCGATGAGTTAAGAGATAAAAGATTTAAGAATGAGCAAACATCAAGACAGCGTGCGACAGCCTCAACACAGCGTAAAGGCGCCCCATGAAGAAACAGCTCTAATGCTGAAGGGCAGCAGCTCCGCAGAGCTCTCGTATTAATATTCTCCTTGCTTAACTCAGAGATGCTGCTGTCTGTCTGTATACCAGAGCCACTACTACTCGCTGATGTACGTACACAACACCCTCCAATTAAGGGCTCTCCTGAGGCTTCTTCTCTCAAGCCGCACCAAACAGACATTCCTTCAACAAAGATAAACCCGCAAAACTTACGCAGATAACTGCGCACAGTCAGAGTTGCGCGCCAGGTGTACAGACACCCCAGAAGGGCGGCCCCTTCGGTCTCCCCTACACGCTTCTCACTCCCCTCTCCTCCAAAGAGTACAGCGTGTAAGGAGACAGAAGAATACTACTAGCCTTAAAGTTACGGTGGTAGCTGCCGCCCCCTTATGCCCCAAGTTAAACAAACCCGCTGCTGAGGAGACAGTGCCCACAGCCACCGCCGTCCCTCTGCCAGCGCTCAGTGCCTCCGATGCTCCGCAAAAATAACTGTCTCCTTCCCCTCCTCTGCTGCTGCAGCCGCTGCTGCTGCTGCTGCTGCTGCTGCTGTCAAGGAGCCCCTATATCGGTGATGTCCCCAAAGCGCTGCGTCAGTGTCCAGACTCGTGATAAACAGGGCTTGAGTAAACCTCTCCTAAGCCCCAGGAGTCATGCAGCCCCTCAGTAGAGGTAAAAAACGTTGCTGCAGAAACAACAGCAGCAACAGCAACAGCAGCAACAGCAGCAGCAGCTGGAGCCGGAGCGTTGGTTTGAAGGGCAAGGGGCAAAGTAGGAGGGGGCTGAGCCACCCGAACACGGAGAAGAAAGTGCAGCAGCAATGCTGCAGACCTACTGCCTTACTCTTATGTTGCTTTTAGAAAGCTGTAGACAGAGGAGCCCCCGTCCTTGTTGTGGGCGCTAGAGCTCTACAGAGGCCCCAGTACACTCGGAGGAAACAAGCGGAGACGGTCGTGGTAGCAGTAAAATAGAGTGCTGAAACGCTGAAACAAATTCGGGGTCTGGCTTCAGGGTTTTAGGGTTTAGGGTTTAGGGTTTAGGGTTTAGGGTTTTGCTGCAGAGGCCGCGCGACGGGCAAGCTGTGGTGGGCCCCCTTCAATTCGGTGTCGCCGCAGATCGCTGATGTAAGGCTTTCCTTGCGCGTTTTGCTGCACTTCCTTTATCTTTAAATTGTATTATTATTGTTTTAATTACCTCTTAATTTAGGGTCTCGCAGCAACAAACCCAAGACATGAACGCAGAAACTAACAGACAGCCCTGGTGTATGTTGGTTGCGGCGCTGCAGTGCATTCTTTCAGAAACGCAGACAAAAAATACTTTTAAAATTTATAACAGGAAATAAATAAAGATAAAGTACTTATTCTCGGTCGGTCGAGGGTCTCTGTTTATACAGCCAAGGGCCCAGCAACACATAACAGGGGCAAAGAGCTTGATATTATATTAGAACAGCTCTCTTCTTACTGTAGAAGAGGGCTGAAGAGTCTCAAAGTAATTATTTTTTAAAGTTATTATTTTAGTTGGATTTGCCGCTTCAGTCATACTCGCTCTACAGGGGGAGACAGCACAAAATAACTACTTAGTTCGAGTATACTGTAGCACACTCTATCAAGTTGGTGCATGCATGCCTATCTGCATGCATACAGTGGCTACTGACGGCCAAGAGAGTGCTTAATAATGCGTTTAAGAGTGTAGGGCTTTGCAGCAAAGCGGGCTTAAGTTAGGCTTACATGTGGATAGACAGCAAAGAATGCCTCAGCTTATAAAGGGGAAATTACTTTAACCAACAGCTCTACACACTTGTATTTAATAAGCTAGAATACTGCATGGGAGCTCGATTACTTCGGGGGCTTCTCGAATATTATGAATGAAATGCAGCTCAAAATGGCCTTAGCTAAGATCGAGGGCTCATATTACTATTAACAGCGCTGGGAAAGGGGTGCAAGGAGAGGGTGGGGTTTAATGCGTGCAGAGCCTTACCCCTACAACTTTGCTTCCTGAAAAATAATGCTGCACGGCCTTTAAGGCGAAGTGCATATAGCAAAGGCAGTTTGTTATTCACCTTAAAACACTGTCGATGACTTATACATTTTTTATTAGAATAGGACGTCAGGAGAGAAGGAGGCAAAGTGCTAGGCAGCTTGTTGCACTGTATTAAGCGCAGTATCTGCTTCTCATTCGTCAAGAAAACAATAAATAAATAAACAAATGAATAAATAAAGTCTGTCTCCTTCATTTTTCACAGTCTGAATATTGTGGGTGTAGCAATGCTAGGTTAAAATATACGTATTTCTTGCTTCTCTTAAGGCGGGAACCTAAGAGCTACTGCTATTTGTTATTAGCATCTTCTTTATTAGGCTATCACTTTCTTGAATGCGTTTTTAGAGTATGAAAGCCTTAAGGCATTCGCCGAGACGCACATTTATTTATCAGCAAGAAGACGAGGAAGCAGCCTTCTGTAGAAAGCAGTGTGCTGCTCCTATAGCTCCCCAGCTGAGGATGAGAAGCTATCAGTAAAGCCCTCAATCGATAAGTATCAGTATCTCGTAAAGAGAAGTCTAATAGTGAATTCAATCAGCACTTAGGAGGCAAAGAGGGTTTGAGCCTGTTTGCATCTGCAGCTGCGCTGCAGCTAAAGTTGCAGCAAGAAGTGATGAGATATAAGCCTTCGACTTCAGATAATTACCGCTTTTTATCTTCAGAAGAGTCAAAACATTTAACAATAGAGTTTATGAAAAAAACAGCTGACTCTCCCAGTCTCTATGTTGCTATATGAAGGGTGCCTCCGCATGCATGCATAATGCACGCAGTAATAAAATAAACAATTGTTAGTTAATGACTTAGCCATCAGTAGCCGAGTTAAATGCATGCAAAATGCATGCATCAATCATCTCTAAGTTGTGATAGAAGCGCCTCAAGACAGTTCTACCCCTATCTTCACAAGCGGCAAGAGTTTGTGCAGGTGTAAGTAGAATGCCTAGAGACTTTAGCAGCAATAATCTGCATCTATAATTATTATTTTAGGTGTATTTACCCTGCTGCATCTGTCTTGACTGCTCTCATCTAAGCTAGAAAACACTTATCAGCGAGGCTTAAGCTCTGGCTGTCTATCTACAATTCAGTTTATTTATGCATTATTTTATGCATGCTTCATTAAAAGGCTATTTGAGGTGTCTATAGTAGAAGCATATTCTTTTATATGCAGTAAAAAACCTTAAAAAAATCAATGTCTTTACTTAGTTTGTTACTGCTGACAACACTAATACAGAAACGGCTTTGCCCGTGCTTGCCTTGCAGCACTAGCTGCAACGAAGTGCATTGCAATATATATATATATATATATATATGCATATATATATATATATGCATATATATATATGCATATATATATGCATATATATGTATATGCATATATATATGCATATATGTATACATATTTATATATATACATGTGTATATGATAGTTCTGGAGGAGCGTATATATATACGCCATATACGCTATATACGCTATATAATATATATATATTATATATATATATATATATATATATTATATATATATATAGCCTCCTCCAGCACTAGGCCTTTGGGCCGTTGTGCCGCGAGTATCTGAGGAAGAGAGTCGAGATGATGATTTTTAATTCAAATTTGTTTGCATTTCTTTTTTTTAAAAATATTATTTTGCCTCTAATACTATCGGTAGACTCCTTTTAGATTAGGGGGCCCCCTACGTTTATTCATCGGGGTGAGGCCCGTGTCTGCTTAGATATTATTTTTATTTAGTTATAAATGAGCTTTTTATTTGTATGTTTTCAAATTTATGAGGCAAACAACTGCTATTTATTGCAGATGTTATAGAGAGGGTTTATACAGCTAGGCCTCCTTCCACATGGTGAGTTGCTTCTAATAACATTATTTCGGGGTTTGTTTAGCTTATAATTTGTTGTTTAATTCTGTTGTTGTTGATTTAAATCTATTAATTGCTGCATTTCTTTGCAAGAGATCAATTAAGCGGGCTAAGAGCATGCAGGCTCCTTAATAAACACAGCTCCGCCACCCAGCGGGGCGGCCGAGGTGGCTGCAGCAGTTGTTGCTCGGTGCTGCTGCTGCTGCTGCTGCTGCTGCAGCCAGCTCGAAAGAAAGAGCATGCATATGTTTGTGCAGCAGCAAAGCAGCTGAAATTTGCAAGCAAACATAACTGGAATCTTACCCGAAGTCCCTAGACCTCAGACACCGCGCCCTACGTACCCCCAACGAGCAGCAGCAGCAGCAGCAGCAGCAGCAGCAGCACAAGCCGCAACACCACCGTCTCAGGCAGCAGCAGCAGCAGCAGCAGCAGCCGACCTGCGTCCACTCCGCTGCTCCCGTTGTTTCTCCTTCTGTTCAGTTTGAAGCATTTGTGTATATTTTAGCTGGTGTATATAGCTAGCCACCAGACAGCAGCAGCCCAGCTGTCTATACACTGCAGCAGCAGGTGTGTCTTCTCCTGCAGCGTGTAGTAATAGTTTGCCTCTCTTTCTTACAAAGGCTCTTGCTTTGTATTGACGCTGCATACAGCTTAATCTTTGTTTTTTAGTTGTTGTGTCTTCATCTTCTTCTCTATACTCCCCACCTTCTGCTGCTGCAGCAGCAACCCTAGAGGGGGGCCCTCAAGGTATGAGTGCTGCAGGGGGGCCCAGGCCGCCTACCAATATGCTGCAACATGCGCGTTATTTCGGGATCTCAGGCTGATCCTCAGCAGCAGCAGCAACAACAGCAACAGCAACAGCAACAGCAGCAGCAGCAGCAGCAGCAGCTGAGAGCCAACCCCCTCGATCAACAACCCTCGCTGCTGCTGCCAGAGGCCCATGCAAAGAACAGGACGCCCACGCCCCACCTGCAGCAGCAGCTGCTGCAGCAGCTCTTGCTGCAGCTGACGGGAGATCAGCAGCAACAGCAAGCAGCAGCCGACCACAACGCCGCACTTCAGAATGCAGCTGCGGCGCAGCAGCAACAGCAGCTGCAGCAACAACAGCTGCAGCAGCAGCTGCAGCAACAGTTGCAGCAGCTCCAAAACCAGCAGCTGCAACAGCAAAGGCAGCAAGCACAGCTGCACCAGCCGCAGCAGCTACTGCAGCAGCAGCAGCAGCAAACCGCCGCCCTGCCCACCGAAACCCTCATGCAAATACAGCGGCTCTTGGGGGTTTCCGTGTCGCAGGCTGCTGCTGGCCCCAGCGTTCAGCAGCAGCAGGTGCAGCAGCAGCACCCGCAGCAGCGGCAGTTAGGGGCAGTGGAAGAGGCAGCGCGTCGCCTTCCGGAGGAAGCAGCAGCAGCGGCAGCTGCTGCTGCTGCTGCTGCAGCCCCCCACCCTGTAGGTAGGACTCCGGTGAATCAAGAACCTATTAAGCTGCTTCGGCAGCGCCTGCAGCAACTGGAAAGAATGAAGCAGACAAGCGATCTGCAGCAGCAGCAGCAGCAGCAGCAGCAGCTCCTGCAGCAGCAACAGCAACAGCGCCCCCTGCTGCAGCGCGAGGGTGAGGCTGTGCAGCATCTCTTAGATTGCATCCAGGTGCTGCGGCATCAGCAGCAATTGCTGCTGCCTCTAAGAGGGGCAGATGCTCCTGTTGCTGCTGCTCCTGTTGCTGCACCTCCAGCAGCAGATAGAGAAAAGCCGCAGCAATCGCTGCAGCAGCGGCTAATCAACTTCCTCTCCCAGCAGCAGCGGCAGCAGGGCCGCCTTCTGCAGATCTTGTCGCAACACCGACAGCAGGAGAGCGGCTTGCAGGAGCTCCCGCAGCAGCAGCAACAGCAGCAACAACAGCAGCAGCTTGAGCAGCACAAGCAGCAGCAGCAGCAGCAGCAGGGGGGGGACTCGCTGCGGCAGCAGAGGGCGAAGCTGCTCAGCCGGATAGTGAATTTGCTGCAGCAGCAGCAGCAACAGCAGCCGTCTAGCACTTTAGACAGCGAGGACAGTCATCAACAGCAGCAGCAGCAGCATGCGCATGAAGATATCGCAGCAGCAGCAGCAGCTGCTGCTGCTGCTGCTGCTGGCTCCCACAGGGGCCTCGGGGGCCCCCAGCGTGGTGATATGGGGGGCGGAGGTTTGGTTAAAGGGGCCCTTGAAGAGTCTCCTTCTTTAGACGGGGAAGAAGGAGGAGCAGCAGCAGCAGCAGCAGCTGCTGCTGCTGCTGCTGCACTGCAGCCAGACGAGCAGCAAGACGTTGCTGCTGCAGCCTTGACACGTCATTCACTCTCCGGTTTGAAGCCGCTGCTGCAGGCTGCTTTTAAGCTGCCTCATTTCCCTGTGCAGTCTGCTGGTGTTGGTGGTGCAGCAGCAGCAGCAGCAGCAGCAGCAGGTGGAGCAGGAGCAGCAGCAGGTGCTGGTGCTGCCCCAAGCCCTTTGGGGTCTTGTCTTGCTGCTTGTCTGTCTCCTGCAGCAGAGGAGACAGTTGGACGGGGGTTAAGTTTAGGTTTAGGGGTCAGCGAGTGGCAGAGAGACAGCGGCTTCCTCTTCTGCGAGCTGTCTCGCCTCCTCAGAGCAGCAGCAGAGCTGCCGCCTGAGCCCCTGCTAGAGAGTCTCCTTAGGGTAGACCACCACCAGCAGCAGCAGCAGCAGCAACGCCAGCAGCAGCAGCAGCAAGAACAGGAAAGCAGCAAACAACCAGTCAAGCAGCAAGCAGCTGCACCTGCTGCTGCTGCTGCTGCTGCTGCTGCTGTCAGCAAGGACACCAAGCCCCAACCCGATGATGCTTCTCTGTCTCCCCAGCAGATATCTGCTGAGTCGGAAGCAGCAGCTGCTAAACCTGCTGCTGCTGTTGCCGAGTCTGCTGAAGAATCACTTGCTGCTGTGCCTGCAGCAGCCGCAGCTGCTGAAGATGTTTCTTCAGCTGCTGGCGAACAAGAGGCAGAAGTTGCTGCAGCTGCTGCTGCAACTCCTGCTGCAGCAGAAACTCCTGCAGCAGCAGATACCCCTGCTGCTGCAGAAACTCCTGCTGCAGCAACTACTGCTGCAGCAACTCAGGCGGAAGCGTCTCCGTCTGCTGCTGAAGAGGGGGTTGGTCCCTCTGCAGCAGATGCGGCAGCTGGGGCTGCAGCAGACGGAGCTGCTGCTTCTGCTGCTGCTGCTGCTCCTCCTCCTCTCCGTCGGGCGTTGGAGGAGGAGGAGAGTTTAGGCTTCAAGAGCAGCACAAAGGGCCTCGAGGCAGCGGTAGACACCGCATGCCTAACAACTCGCGACATATCTCCTAACCAGCAGCAGGACGTGCAGCAGCAGCAGCAGCAGCAAGAGGTGCAGCAGCAGCAGCAGCAGCAGCAAGACGTGCAGCAGCAGCAGCAGGACCTGCAGCAGCGCGAGCAGCAGCTGCCGCTGGGTGCATCGGCCGTCGATTCAGCAGCAGCAACAGCACGTGAGGGTCTGGCAGCGGTGGTAACGGAGGCAGCATCTGGCGCTGCAGCAGCAACAGCAACAGCAGCAACTGCAGCAGCACCAGCAACAACAGCAGCATTTAAAGAGGAGCTGCAAAGAGACATATTGAGACAGGAGGCCCTCACAGAGGAGACAACTGGGGGGCCTAATTTTCGCAGTCTGCCTATGGAGTTTTCGCTCAGTCTCTCTGCTGTCTGTGCAAAGGTAAATGCTGCTGCTGCTGGTTGCTGCTGCTGCTGGTTGCTGCTGCTGCTGGTTGCTGCTGCTGCTGGTTGCTGCTGCTGTGGGTTGCTGCTGCGGGTTGCTGCTGCTGCATCTAGTCTTGTGCTCCTCCTGGCTGTTCCTTTGCTGCAGGGGAGTATCTATCGTGTGTCGTTATTTGTGTGTCTTTCTGCTGCTGCTGTTGCTGCTGCTGCTGCGCTCTTCAGGCGTTGCACCAGTGCGAAGCCGCACAGCTGCTGCTGTCGCCTCCTGTCCAGTGTTGCTGGGATCGGATCCTCTCCGTGTTCCAGCCTCATTGGCAGCAGCAGTTAGAGAATGAGGCAGCTGCTGCAGCAGCTGCTGCAGACGCAGCAGACGGCACCGCAGCAGCAGCAGCAGCAAAAGGAGCAACAGCAGCAGCAGCAGCAGGCTCTGACGCGGCGGATTCGAAGCCGTTTTGCATCATTTGTCGCTTGCTGCAGCAGCATGTGGCAGGTAACAGCTCGCCTAACAGCAACAACAGCAGCAGCAGCAGCAGCAGCAGCGGGGCTTCAGCGGGGCCTCTGCAAGACGCCTTCGAGTTGCTGCGGCAGCAGCACCGCCACGTGTATCTCGATCCCCAGAAGGTGCCGCAGCCGCTTCTGGAGAAGCACATGCAAGAGTTGCTGCTGAAGAAGAAATGCTGCAGCACTGCTGCTGCTCGCAGCACCGGAGCAGCACCACAGAAGAGAGGCCGAGATGGGCAACATGCAGCGGACGAGCAGCAGCAACAGCAACAGCAACAGCAGCAGCAACAGCAGCAGCAGCAGGAGTGGAAGAAGCAGCTCCGCATGGCCAGGGACAAAGGCGCCTTCGATGTGCAGTGGGCTGACAGCGGCAGCACCTGCAGCAGCAGCTGCAGCAGCAGCAGCAGCAGCGAAGCAGGGGAGCATGCAAGTGACAGTCTTAGCACTGAGGCTGCTGCAGACAGCCTATCAGAAGAACCTCTTCTTATTGCAGCAGCAACTGTGGGGAGAAGCGAGAGAGAGAAGCTGGCGCAGCATTTCCTGCTGCGGGTCTACGGTGAGTGCTGCTGCACTCGGCTGTATATACACCCCAATTGTGTGCATACAGCTCAGGTTAAAGTGCAGCGTATATACATACCTCAAGGCCTCATTCATTCGCTGGGAGGCTGCTGTTGCTGCAGCAGCAGCAGCTGCTGCTATGGTCTTTGCTGCTATTGCTGCTGCTGCTGTTGCTGTTGCTGCTGCTGCTGCAGGGATGGAGACGCTGAGGGCTGTGGAGCGCAAACTGTCTCCGCATGAAGCCGTCTCGATCTCCGCTACAGCTTGGACAGTGCAGCTGCCCGGCCCTCCTGCTGCTTCTGTTGTGCAGAAGCAGCAGCAGGAGCAGCAAGAGCAGCAACAACAGCAGCAACAGCAGCAAAAGCACCAGGTCGAGGGGAAGCAGGAGGGTGAAGGGAGTCAAGAGCAACAGCTTCTGGCTGCTGAGCAGCAGGTGGACCAAAGCAGCAGCAGCAGCAGCAACAGCAGCAGCAGCAACAGCAGCAAGACAGCAGATGCTGCAGCAGCGGAAGCCCCCGCACGTCGTAGCTTTCCAATTCAAGTGTACGGGTACTACACAGCGTGCTGCCTGGCCCTGGACGCCTTGCAGCAGCATCGACAAGAGCAGCAGCAACAGCAGCAGCAGCAGCAGCAGCAGCAGGCAGAGGAGGATTCAAATGCTTCGCATGCACCACTGTTTTCTGCTCTTTTGCTGCGGAGACGGCAGTCTCTCGAGGAGGAATGGTTTGCCTCGACTTGGGGGCCCCTCCTCGCAGACCCTGGGGGCCCCCCGAGTCTGCTGGCGAAGGCCAGCCCCCGCGACAGCAGCAGCAGCAGCAACAGCAGCAGCAGCAGCAGCAGGAGCTGCAGCAGCCAGGTGATGACAGTCTCAGCCCACGCTATAAAGGATGTTACAGAAGACTGCCGCCTGTGGGTGCGGCGGCGTTTGCTGCTGGCGCGAGGAGACAGTTTAAATAAAAAGGAGACAGGAGATACACTAGGGGTGCCTTTGTTTGCTGCTGTGAAGCAAGGGGCAGCAGTTGGGGTGTATAACAGAAAGAGACAGCTGCTGCAGCTGCAAGGGCCCCCTTGGGCTGAGCCGAAGAAAGCCGCATCTATTAGAGCCAGTACAGAAGAAAGATCAGCGGTAAGCAGACACAGAGACTGTCTCCTTTTGTCTCTGTCTCCTTTTGTCTCCTCCTCTGTCTCCTTTTGTCTCTGTTTGGCTCGTGCTCTGTCTCCTTTGTTCTCTCCTCCGATTCTAGTTGTCTCCTTCGTCTCCTTCTGGCACTCGCTCTGTCTCCTTTGTTTGTTTTATGTGCTGCTACTTTTGTTACAATTGCCGCTGCTGCTATTGCTGCTGCTGCTGCTGCTGCTGCTGCTTTCAGGCCCCTGGCTATGCGCTGCGTCATCGGCGGCGGCTTCCGGCGTCTCCAAATTCGCTGGTTTTACGGGGAGGCGTAGAGGAGGGTTGAGGGCTTAGATAATATATATATATATATATATATTTTGTCTCCTTTGCTGTTTGTTTGCTTGCTGGCGTGTTGCGGTTGCGTCTGGGCAGCTGCTGCGGTCTCGGGCTGCTGCTGCTGCTTGTACAGTGCTGCTGCTGCGATTCTGCTGCTGCTGCTGCTGCTGCTGCTGCTGGATGCCCGCATCTGACGCATGCGCCCGAGAAGCAGCGCGGCTTGCTGCAGCTTTTCCTTTCTCTTGTCTTCTGTCTCCTTCCATTTGTCTTTTGTCCTCGTTCATCTGTCTCATGTCTGCTGTCTCCTGTCTCCTTTCTTCTGTCTCCTTTATTCTATCTTTAGTCTCCTTCCTTTCTGTCTCCTTTCTTGAATCTTTAATCTCCTTTCTTTTGTCTCCTTTCATTTATCTTTATTTTCATTTCTTCTGTCTCCTTTCTTTATTCTCCTTTCTTTTATCTTCTGTCTCCTTTCTTTTATCTCCTGTCTCCTTTCTTTTATCTCCTGTCTCCTTTCTTTTATCTCCTGTCTCCTTTCTTTTTGCATTGTGCGTTGGGAGTTGATTGCAACTGCGCGTCGATTTTGCGGTTTTGTTTGAACCCTGGGGCTGAACTATCAAACTTTAAAATATTATACTCATTTGCATATATATATATATATATAGATATATATATATATATATATTGTATGTAGATAGATATATAGATGTAGATGTAGATATAGCTATAGATATAGATATTACGTATAGAGAGACCTATAGATACAAGTATAGATGGATATATAAAGGAAGAGGCGCCTGTTTCGTATCATATATATATATATATATATATATATATATAATAGATGATACAGATACATAGATAGATACGTATATATACAAATATATATATAGATATATATATATATATATATATGTATATATTTGCACAGTGGATTGATGGCTTTGACGTAGCGGCCAGCCGTCGGGTGTATAAGTTAGCAGGCGAACGGCGAGACAGCAAACCCTAAACCCTTAAACCCTAAAGCCTTAAACCCTAAACCCTTAAACCCTAAACCCTACGTAGCTTCAAACCCCTCAGAGGAAACCCTAGTAAACCCTAAACCCTAATTACAAGGAGAGGGTTCTGTCTCTGCTGCTGCGTACGCCGCGGTGAATGCGAGAGACAACCGCTACAAACCCTAACAAACCCTAAACCCTAAACCCTACCCCTGTGCATGCATGCGAAACCAGCAGCATCTATTCTCCCTCCAGCCATCCTTTATGCGGAACGCAAGAAATAATTATCAAGGATATTAGCGTCTGCTGCTGCTGCCGCTGTGTACGTACACCTCATAATGTATATGAATCTATATCATAATATAAATATACATATATATATACAGATATATAGATACATATAACTATATAGAAGTAGATATAATATACAGCCATTGGCTGTCAACGAAGCAGACGGGCGATAATATCCATACAGACACTCTGCCGCAGCTGTTGCATGCAACTGCTGCTGTATGGTGCTGCTGCTGTATGCAGCTGTTGCTGTTGCTGTATGCGGCTGCTGCTGCTGTATGCAGCTGCTGCTGCTGTTGTATCTAGCCGCTGCTGTATGCAGCAGCAGCTGCTGCGATGCGCCGCTGCTTCTGCTTGCAGCAGGCAGTATAGGGCGACGCATGCATCGCATGCAGCCTCTTTGAGTTTTTGTTTTTTTTTGCTTTTTCCCTCATTAGCCGATCTAATAGCTAGCTGGCTCCCTGCTCTTACTCAGCTAGCTAGCTAGCTGACACAGTGGATAGACTGAAGACAGCCTGACTGTGGGGTGCAGCACATGAGCAGAATTGTTTGTTGTGTCTCTGTACGTACACCTGGAGGCTATTGCATGCGTTGCTTGGAGTTGGGGCTTTGCATGCACTTAGAGATTATCTTGAGGTGTACATACACCTGAAGATAATCTTATCGTATATCTGTATTTATTTGTTTATTTGTGGGTTGCATGCGCTGCACAAGACTCCTCGTTGCTACTGAGCTGTACGTACACTGCAAAATGCAGAAGCTGCTGATATAACAGAGGAACTCCTCTCGGCTGTCTCTTCAAACAATGCACAAGTATGCAGCTCCTGTTGCGTTAAAGCCCCTGCACTGTCTCCTCGGTCTCCTGTCTCTGTCTCCTATATCTGCCTTCTCTGTTTCTTTGTCTGTCTCTTTTCTCTGTCTCTTTGTGTCTGTCTCCTCTCTCCGTCTCCTCCTGTGTCTCTCTTTTTTCTCTGTCTCCTCTAGCCCCAGGAGACAGCTGCTTCCAGCTAGCAGCTGTTTGCCGAGCATATTTATTATTATGTTTGTCTCTGCATTAGCAGCACCCTTGTTCATTAAGTGCTTGCTCCCCTTGCGCTTCCTTCCTCTGTCTCCTCTGTCTGTCTCTTTCTGTCTCTGTCTTCTGTCTCCTCTCTCTGTCTCTTGTCTCCTCTCTCTGTCTGATCTGCCTGTCTCCTCCGCCTGTCTCTGTCTGCTCTCTCTGTTTCCTTTTGTGTATCTTTGTCTCCTGCCTGCTCTACTGTCTGTCTCCTCATTCTCCTTCACCTATCTGTCTCGTTTGCTCGTTTTCTATCTCTGTCTCCTTTTGTCTGTCTCTGTCTTAGGTCTGCCCTTTCTGTCTCCTTTCTCTGTCTCTGCCTTCTGTCTCCTTTGCGGGTATTCCTTTGCCTGCTGTCTCCATCTTTTCTCGTCTGTCTCCTATTTGTCTCCTTTTGTCTGTCCCCTCTGTCTGTCTCCTTGGGTCTGTCTGCTCTAATTGTTACACCTAGTCACAGTTAGCTAGCTCTCCAGAGATAGCTAGCTACAGGTAGCAGCCGCTAGCTACATCTAGCTAGCATCAGCGTATTAATTTAGGGGGGACCCCTACGAAAAGGGAGCTCGCCAAAGTTGTTCAATGTTGCTGTGCATGCATCTGCAGCAGCTATTGTTTAAAGAAGAATCTATATGGAGAGCAGTCAGACAGAGAGAGACAGACATAAAAAATGTTTATGCAATACATTAAGGATATAAACCCTCTCAGCTAGCTGGGCGAGCCTTAGCTAGCTATAGCTAACCATAATTTGCATGCACGATAGCAGATGATGAAGGCTCTTTAAGAGAGAGCAGCAGAGACCCCAACCAACTGTCTCCTCTATTAATACATAACAGCGAGTGCATGCAGAACTGTCTCTGCCTCCTGTCTCTTCTCTCTGCCGTCTGTATTTTATTGTCTGCCTTTGGTGTCCGCTTTGCTGGTGCAGGCGCCTCCCTGACTCTGTAAAGTGTATATATTGCTGCAGTGTCTGCATGCACTCCCCTGTTCATCTGTCCTTCTGTTATGTATATACATTTCTCGTTTGTTACATCTGCCTACCGTCCCTCCCCCTTCTAGCTGAGCTGCTTATACACCCGGGCACATAGCCAGCAGCAGCTGCTGCAGAGCAATCAGAAGCCCTTCAGAGCTCTCTGCAACCACTAACTATAACTACTGTACTCGTATTTGCTGCTGTTGCTGCTGCTGCTTCACAAAACGGAGCAGCAAAGGGAAGCCAGTAATAATCGCCCCCTTAACAGCAGCACGATAAAACAAAACAGAACAGCAACAAACTAATATATATATGCATACGCGCTGTGTATGCGGCCCCGAAATAAAGTATAAAACATTCATATTATATGTAAGTATTTATAATATGGTGTAGGCATCTGAGACTCGCGTACTCCCCAAACAAACTCTCAACCTCAAAAGAATAACCACTATTTTGCAGTGTACAGACACCGGGAGCAGCAAACGCAACAAATGATATTTTATTGGCCTCTCTACAGCACAAGTACTAGCGGCAGACACAGTGAAAGTGTGTCTCCTGCCCCTCCTTCGTTCTGTGCAGCTTGAGGTGTCTGTACACCTCAGATGTGCGTAAGAATAATATTTTGTGTGTTTTCTTTTGTATTTTTTACTTGCGTCTAAACAAGGGGAAATGAAGATGAATACAAAGACAGGCGGTTGTGCTCTCCCTGACTGCCCTCACTCCACCGCAGCGTTGATTGGGGTGTACAATATAGGTTATGCTCGTGCTTGTTTCCCCGATAAAAATGCATCAAATTAAATTATATTAAAAAAATGAAATTTATTTAATGCAGAAAGACACCAAAAACTGCATACACAACGGAGAGGAAGCGGCAGCAGACAGAGGGGGGGGGGCGGCGTGTCTGTGCAGGTCGGTGGGGCAGTGCGTATTGCAGTTGTGTATTAGTTTGATTAAATTTATTAGTTAAAATGCAGGAAAAAACATGAAAAAAAAGAGTTTATACAGTTGCAGTAGAGTATAGATATATTTAACTTCGTTTGCTTTAAACAAAGTTATAAAGATGAGGAGCTAGCCATAGGGCAAGAGGTGCTAGCCCTCTGATGCAGCGAAGCTCCCCCCGCTGCTGTCGCTGCAGGTGGGGGTGGGGGGTGTCTGATAGCAGTTTAGCAGCAGCGCACAACTCATCTTTCTGCTGAGTCCTTTGGTAATGAGTACAGGAAAAGAATCGAAAATGGTTTCAAAGAAGTCGGCAAAGTCGGCGAAGCCCGCAAGCGGCAAGGGCAAGGGAAAGGGAAAGAGAAAGAGAGCTGAGACCTACAGCTCTTACATCTTCAAGGTGCTGAAGCAAGTGCATCCTGAAACTGGCATCAGCAAGAAGTCTATGATGATTATGACTTCCCTGATCGGCGATACCTTCGACAAGATCGCCTCTGAGGCAGGAAAGCTGTGCAAGTACAACAAGAAAGACACTCTCTCTTCTCGTGAAGTTCAAACAGCCGTCAGGCTGGTGCTGCCCGGGGAGCTCGCTAAGCATGCGGTTTCTGAAGGGACCAAGGCGGTGACAAAATACACCGGAAAGTAAATTATTAAACCGAAATAAGGACCTCGACAGCGATGGCTTTTGCGTAGATGAGTTCTGTTCACGGCCCAGGAACAGTCTTATCATTCATCATTCAACAATCTCGCGATCTTTAGGCTTCACTAGAAGCCACCTTCTCGTTTTTACCCTTCAAAACCCTCAGTAATGTCTTTAATTCGTTAAACATCAACCAATTCCCAGCGCTTTCCGCCATTTTTGCAGAGCTTTCCACAGCTTTCCATACTTCAGTTGCGCAGCGGTGGGGTGTACAGACACCTCGCAGGAGAGCAGGTTGCTTTCCATTCGTCGTAAAGACGAATTCAACTCTGTCTTGCATTCACTTTGCATCATCTAAGTGAATGTGGGGGGAGGATATTTTAAGTGCATTTTGGTGCCCTTTCGTTCCGGGGCCGCTGAACTGTTCCTGAGAATGAATTTATTCATTTTGTTGTATTCCGATAATATTTGTATATTAACTTTGCCCATCCTTCTGAAGGCGCTAAGCATTCTGTTGCTAAGTTAAGGTAGTAGTGCGGTATGTACATAGACTCAAAATAATTAGATAATTATACAGCTGCATTGCGCTAAGAGGAGAGTGGCTGTGCATAAGGAAGCATATATTTTTTGTTTTTCAGGGTCTGTATCTAAGGTTGGTAGTGGAGAGAGTTGAATATATAGTTTTCAGGTTCTGTATCTAAGGTTGGTAGTGGAGAGAGTTGAATATATAATGTTCAGGTTCTGTATCTAAGGTTGGTAGTGGAGAGAGTTGAATATATAAATGGCTGTTATTACTTAGTAAAGATGCCATTCTATTTCAGTCTACGTAAAGGAAAATCTATTATTATAAACCCCGGGCGAAGCGCCAGCAGGAAGGAGGCCCCAATAAACCACCCCGCGGAGCGCACACATGTATTCATTCCATACATACTTTCATACATTTCGTACTAATAATACATACAGATTTATATTACAAAAATATACAGACAGATGATCTCGCGACACTAGATGTGCATCTACACAAGTTGTGCATGCATGATGGCTGCGGGGGTATTCTCCTTGCACTTCACCCTGCAGGTGTTATATATGTTTGCTTTCCCTTTATAGTTTATTTTGTTTGTTTGTTTATATCAAGCGTATACACGCCTCCTTGCATTATTAAGATAGAAGTGATGAATAATAATAATTTGATTAAGCCTTAACTGGCTCAGGCTGTGTTGTTTGCTGCTGCTGATGATTGGTGTTGTTGTTCTGGTTATCTTCTGCTGCATTTGCTGCTGCTTTTTCTTTTTCTTTCTCCATAATAGCGGCGAAGTCCTTCGTCTTTCTGCATAATATCGTTATCTTTGGGACATACTTTCTCCTTGCTGAAGCAAAGTAAGCTGTCTCTACTTTCTCTATCGTCACGCAGCCTTCACTTTCTAACAAAGCCGCAGTACCGATCGCTACTTTCGTCGCCATTCCCAAACCTGTAAAAAGAAAAACAAAGAAAAACAAAAAAAAAGATATTTTATTTATGCTTTAAAGACTATGATTTATATACTTCATATTCAGGTACAAAGTAAAATCAAGGGTTATTATAAAATAATAATAATAATAATAAATAATACTGATAATATATATTTATTGAAATCAATAAAATAATAGCGGAGTCGGCAAACACACAAACGCAAAACAGTTTGTTCATCTCAACAATAAAAAAAATAAATAATAATTATTAATAATACATTATACTAGAAAGACAAACATAACATGTCTCTGTCTGAGATGTCTCCGTCTGTGCATACAAAATATTATATATTATATATACTATAACGACACACAGCGAAGAACAGCAAAAAAATATATTTTTAATCTCAGACACAATGCATAGTTCTAAACACAAAACTTAAACAGAAAACTCTTCTTCTTATCCGTTTGCTTGCTATATTTATCAATTACTATTTAGTAAAAATACAAAGAAAACAAATATATATAATATATATATAATAAAATCTTCATAATACTGCATCAGAAATATTAACACACTACAATACATACTCAAAGTACACCATACAAAGCATAAAATATATATATTATATTAATATACATTATATATTATTATACATTATATTGATACAAAATAAATATTATCTAAATACTTATAATACTGCATCAATGAAACAAACAAAAAAAACGCTGTTTGTCTCTTCAATAATAATCAGACGCTGCAACAAAAGGCTTCCTACCACACCATACCCCTTAAATATATAAAGCACACCCTAAACCCTAAACCCTAAACCCTAAACCCTAAACCCTAAACCCTCGAACGGATGGGTTGGAAATGACAGACCACCAAAAGAAGAACAGAAGAGCAGATAAAAAGAAGAGATAAATCCACATGAAAAAAAATATATATATATATATATACCCCTTACAACCTCTGCAATAAGATATACATATATATATATATATATATATATATATATGCATATATATCTGTTTTCTATTTCCTGATGCATGGGAGTAACAAACAGCAGTGCTATGTGCATAAAACCCTTATTTTAGGTGTACATACACCTCAATAAACGTCGAAATAAATTCAATATACTCACCAGAGACAGAAAATTCGTCAAAGGCTTCCTTGCCTTCTCTACCCATCAATATCCTCTTCGCTACTCGCGAATACAGGCGAGGTGTCCGCTCCAGTGACACCTGAACGCAGCAGCAGCAGCAGCAGCAGCAGCAGCAGCAGCAGTGGCAGCAGGGATAATAAGCATAATAGAGAAGGAGGAAGGAGCAGCAAACGCTGCTAAAGAAACAAAACAATTAACAAAGAATATGACAAAAGAAGAGACGATCTCCACGACTCCGAATACAACAGCAGCATGCATGCAGCCACGCGTCTCTGTCTCCTTCTCTATTAATATCTCTTGCATACACTTGAGTGGTGGCCCCACCCCCCTTCAGGTGTACATAGGCATGCATCCATACATGCAGATGCATATACACCTGAACGGCTGATAAGAACAGCAGCAAGAAGGCTGCTGCTCGGCTGCTGCTGCTGCTGCACGAGTTTAAGAGAAGCAACAGATATACATAAGTGAGGAGAAGACAGCAGCAAAGAAAGAAGAAAAAGATATATAGACATCACTCTCTGCATACCCCTCCTGTGATATGCATAGATGTAGGGCCCCGAAGGCAGGTGAATATAACACAGCACTTAAGGTGTATATACAGCTCAGAATCTGCTTTCAATGCAGAAGAAACATAACTTACTAAAATAAAGTTCTCCCCCCTCTCCTGACGAGCAGAGGAGACAGCCGTCTGAGCTGGGGTGGTGCTTGCAGTCTCTGCTGCGCTGGCTGCAACTTCAGTGGGCGCCATCGTAGTTACAGAAAGATAAAACAAACAAAAAACAGCAAAATATAACTTTCTTGAGCAAATACACCTCGCGTTTAACACACCAACAAGCTCATGTCACCCAGAAGCAGCATGCAACTGCTGCTGCAGCAGCAGTAGCAGCTGCTGCTGCAGCAGCAGCAGTAGAAGCAGCAGCAGCAGCAGCTGCTGCTGCTGCAGCAATGCGCTGCAACCCAACAGCAGCGGTTTCCCCCCTTATTTGGTGCTATTTGTTGTTGTTATCAACCAAATATATATTTATTTATATTTATTTACACAAAATACACTTATATGTATCTGTCTATACACCTGTCAGCTGCAGCAGCAGCAGCAGCAGCAGCAGCAGTGATTTGCATATAGAGGGGCCCGCAGCAGCCTGTGGGTGTGTGCATGTACAGAGAGTTTGCTGCTATTAATGAATGTGTTTTTAATAAAGCTGCATTTCTTTATTTATTTTATTTATTTATTTAATTCTTATTTGTCTTTTTACCTCAGACACTCCACACCTTCTTTTCTTTTTTGCGGGTTTTCTCTTTGTGCATGCATGCAGCAGATAGGTATAAAGTGTTGTGTTATTTATTGTATTTTATTTATTTTCTTTATATTTTTTCTTTAAACACTATATTTTATCTCCTTTAACAGACTAATACAAAATAAACAAACAAAAGCAGCGCCAAACAATGCAGCATTGTTGTACGACGCAAACGAATGAAAGAAAGTATATATATATATATATATATATTAGAACAAACAGACAAAGAAGAGAAAATAAACAATAAAACTTGAGAAAAACATAGTAAACAACACCAGCAAACTGTCTTCACAAACCCTTTCTTCTTTTGCTGCTCTCGGGTGTATAGGCAGGTGCATGCAAGTGTATTTGCAGTGTATTATGAACTCACTACAGCAAAGAAGAAGAAAAGGAAGAAGATATTTACCCATAACAACCAGCAGACAGCTACTGCTGCGACTGCTGCACTTCAGATGAAAACAGAGCATCAACTGCTGCTGCTGCTGTTGCTGCTGCTGCTGCTTTTGCTGCTGCTGCTGCTGTTGCTGCTGCTGTTGCTGCTGCTGCTGCGAAGAAGAGAGCTGGAGGTTGTGGAGTTGCTTTAATTACTCCTGCACACTCATGACAGCAGATTTCTTCTTTCTATTTTGTTTGCATGCAAACAAATATATTGTTTATTAAAAAAGAGAGTTTGCTTCGTTTGTCTTCATGCGCTGCAGCAGCAACAGCAGCAGCTGCAGCAGCAGCATCAACAGCAACAGCAACAGCAGCAGCAGCAGCAACGAGATGCAGCTCTGCTGCAGCTGCTGCCTTAAGCGCAGCAAACTGCTTAACTGCAGCAGCATGATACATAAACCCCGGGGAGCCAAATGCAGCAATAAACCCTTACTATGAATTATTATAAATAAATAAAAATTAATAATAAATAATCAATACGTAATAATACATTAATAATAATAATAATAAATAAGTAATAATTGATGTAAGTAATAAGTAATAAACAATAAATAATAAGTAATAATAAGCAATTAAAAAGAAATAAATAATAAATAATATGTAATAATTATTATTACGCATTACCTGTTATTTCATCATTACTAATTTGTTAAGTAATAAGTTGTAGTTAATTAGTAATAGCAGCTACAAGTAATAAATAAGTAATACACCCAAAATAATAATAAATAAATAATAAATAATAATAAATAATAAATAATAAATAATAATAAATAATAAATAATAAATAATAAATAATAAATAAGTAATGTAAGAAATGATGTAATAAATAAATATTATTTATAACTAAATAAATAATATGTAATAAATAATAAATAATAATTTCCTATACTTTTTACTCATTAATATTATGCTTCTTAATAAGTAATAAATAATAAAAAATAAATAATAAGTAATATAAATAATAAGTAATATAAATAAATAATAAATAATAAATAATAAATAATATAATAAAAAATAAGTAGTAAGGATAATAAGTTAATAATTAATAAGTAGTAATAGATAATAAATAATGCAAGTAATAAATAATAAGAAACATAAATAATAAATATAAGTATTAAGTTGTATAAATAATATAAGTAATAAATAATAAGAAATATAAATAATAAATATAAGTATTAAGCTGTAAGTAAAAACTAATATAATAAATTAATGAAGAATATGTTATAACTAATAATTAATAAGAACAAGTTAACAATTAATAATTAATAATTCATAAGAAATATAACTAATAAGTATTAAGTAATAAATATTATTAAATATTAATTATTATTTACTACTTAATCAAAACCATGATAGTAATAAGTAAAACAAAAAGATATATTAGGGTGTATATACATTTCTTTGTGCTCTATAAGAAGGTTAAAGAAAAAGAATTGAGTAAGCGACAATAATCAACAGCAGCAATAATCCTAGCAGCAATCAGCAGCAGCAGCAGTAGCAGCAGCAGCAGGAGCAGCAGCAGCAAAACCGCCTTCTTCAGACGCAACATCACTGCAGCATAGACAATACAAGCTTTCTATGAAGCATCAGCAGCAGCAGGGACAGCAGCAGCAACAACAGCAACAGCAGCAGCACCGGTAACAACATAACAACAGCAGCAGCAGAAGCAACAGCAGGAGGAGCAGCAACAGCAGCAGTGACAGCAGCAGCAGCAACATTAAGTAAACCCTAACTTTAACAGCAGTAGACCCCTAATAATATATAACCTTTAGGATTATGAAGTATATTTATTATTGAGCATGCAATTAGTATGGATATATATATATATATATATAATTCTATATCTATATCTATATCTATATCTATCTTTATCTATATCTATATCTATATCTACATCTATATCTATATCTATATCTACATCTATATCTATATCTATATCTATATCTATATCTATATCTATATCTATATCTATATCTATATCTATATCTATATATGTATATGTATATGTATATGTATATGTATATGTATATGTATATGTATATGTATATCTATATCTATATGTATATGTATATATATATCTATATGTATATGTATATGTATATGTATATGTATATGTATATGTATATCTATATCTATATCTATATCTATATCTATATCTATATCTATATCTATATCTATATCTATA